GCCTTCGGGAAGCGGCAGGCGGCCGAGGAGGAGCGCTACTTCAGGTGAGCGGGACCCCTCGGGGACCGGGATTGCTGGCTGTGCTGCAAGCGGGAGTCGCCTTCCTCAGTCTCTGGCCTGGCCCAGGGGGAGAGCGCGAGGCCTGGGCAGGGTTGTTTCCTCCCCAGCCTTCATGGTCTGGGATTTGGGGCCGTGTCCCCCTTGTGTGCTCAACTGCTACCGAGGCCCCTTTTCTCCAAATATGTGTCCGGGGGTGTGGCACACCTGAGCGGCAGGCAAGTCCCCGGCTGAGCTGGAAGGGACCTGCCTCTGAAGCACGTCGTCTCCAGGCCTTTGGTAAGTGTTACCTGACCCCTGTGCTGCCTGCTGTGCCCTTCAGGGAGAGGGAGAGGGAACAGCTGGCAGCTCTGAGGAAACACCATGAGGAAGAAATCGATCACCACAAGAAACAGATAGATCTTCTGCAAAAAGAAATCGAGCGTCACAAGTACAAGATCAAGAAGCTTAAAAATGATGATGACTAAACCGCCAGTGTCTGTTGTGGTTTTCTTCCATATGCAGCCAATAAGTGTTTCGTTGTTGTTGTTGTTGCTGCATTGAAGACTACATGCTTTAGCCAACATAATCTGGGTTTGCACCATTATAATATGGACTGCAGAAAAATCAAATAAACTCAAAGAATCCAACAAGCATTTCTTAGTGATTTTTGTCTTTCGAAAATGCATATACTTTGGCCTTCATCTTGGCTTCCCCAGCCACTGACATTTGAACTGCTTTACGTTGTCTCAGCTGCTGACAAATAACTTATATTCCTACTATAGCATTTTTACCCCAGGCTGTGGCCTGGCCCTGCAGGGGGAGGAGCAGCTGTAATGCTGATTAGGCCTCGTGGCAGGACTGAGCAGGAACAAGTTGAGCTGGGCTGTCAGTACAACCATTATTCACCCTTTCTTTCTCCCCCCTCCCACCACCAGTGGCTAGGCCCTGAATTTTTTGTGTCAGGTTAGAAGTGTGGTGGCTGAGTTGCAAGGCAAAACTATAGCCATTTTATTAGAGTAATTATTTGTTTCTTTACTTCAAATGTGCCCTTGGTCATATGCAAATGCACAGAGAGCTTTGTATGAAATAAAGCTGTTTACTGCTGGTAGTACAAGCTTAGCTCATGATAGGAAAATAGACTTCATAGTATTAATACTTAAAAAGGAAACACTTATGTTTGGTTATACTCATTACACTTCAGACATTAATATTCCAAATGTCAATATGCTTTTGCTGATTAACTTCATTTGTTTTTTGTTTTAAAATGTTCCCTCCTACAATACTGGTGCTGTTTCAGAAACAGCATGTTGAACTAATCCCTGAGCTGCTGCTTTGAGAGAAGTGGTGCACAAATCTAATGGAGTAAATAAATAATCAAAATAGTACTAGTAACTGAAATCTGTGTAACCAACTTTTAATCTCCTTTTTTGGAGAACTTTCTTAAAGAATAAAGGCCAGCTGACCCACCCAATTAACAAGCACACCTCTGGAATCAAGAGATGAAAAAAGTGTGTGTATGTGATTGTTGTCATAGGGTGGGGGAATAACAAGGGCAAGAGAAAGTGGGTTCTACCTTGCTCTCTCCTGTTCTGTTTTTTCAGCCTGTGAACCAAGTGCAGTTATTCTTCAGTACTACAAAAGTAGTCTTACAGTATGTAGCCTAATATATGGGAGGGTATCCCTAGCATAACTGTAGATTTGCAGTAAGGCCTGTTTTTATCATACGATTTTGTGATTGGAACAGATCTCTGAACAGCTGTTGGCTCACTGAGACTTTGGCACAGAAAGCATTTTAACATAGTTGTCATTGGTCTGACTGAGAAGAAAATGATTAAGTTCTCTCTATTTTAAAGAACATCTCTGGAATGCAAGAGGCCTTGATTTTAAAAAAAGAATCAAAGGGCACATAGATCAAAAACAACAAAGAGGAAACATTGATTCAAAACAATTAACTAAGGTATTTGTAACAGCTGTGCTGTCTTTCCTGTTAATAAAAATGCTAAGAACCTTTTGGTATCAAATGCTATACAAATACAGAAAAGACCATCTTTGCCCTAAAGAATTTAAATTAGCTACATGCATATTTATCACCAAGGTTTAATCCGCTATGGAAGAAGCTTCCCTACAGAATATTCCATTATACCATGCTTGTCTTAATCAGTTTGCAGGAGTCATCAGGAGTGGCGGGGAGAGGTCTTTTTCTGGGGGGATGGTAGGGTGAGTAGAGCTATAAAAATGACTTTTTGGTTTGCCAGTTGAACTGAAACATTTGAGTACTGAGGAAAAAGACAGTTCTGGGTCATCTTGAACCAAAACCCTAAAACATTTAGTTTTTAAAATGTTAAAATAAGTATTTCATCAGTTCTATTTTTTTTAAACACTTTTTTTCACTGAAGAAGAGTACTTTTTGCCCCAAATTTATCCAACATTTCTGCCAACTAGCTAGTCAGTCCAATAAAGGTATTGCCACAACACCCTTCTTTTCCAATATGGATGGGGAGTAGTGGTTGTTTTGTCTTGTTAACCCCCAAACTCTGCAGTGGAAGCCCAATAGATTAGATACAAGTGCCTGCGGGTACATTGTTGGTCTAGGTAGGAGGGGAGAGGGGGTATCTTGTAGGGGAAGCATGCCTACAGCTAACTTGGCCACAGGTGCTACTGGCATATTGCTGACAGAGGTACAAGAGGTTCATTAGAAAGAAGTGGGAATTGCTGTCTATGGTAAGCCTACAGGAGCAGTATTTTAGAGATCTTTCAGAGTTATTTTTTGCCTTGGGCTGCTACTGTAAATCTGATTAAAGCATTTGACCGAACACGCTGTTGTCTACCAAAGCGTATGTCACAGAAGCAGTTAGTTTCTAATGTGCCACCCTACCCTGCCTTCTGCTGTAAATCTGGAATGCTCCATGTCTCCATTATTACTCGTAGCATCCTTGAGTGACCTGTTGGTAACACTGGCTGACAGTGACATGGAGGTGGAGGAAGAAAGGACAAGTTCATGGAGCTGTTGTGCTGGGAAGATGCTGTGGAAAGATGAGCATATGTGAAAGAACCTGCCCTGGTAGTATCAGGAAGCAAACAAGCCTATATTGGCAGACAGGATGCATCTGGCAACAGATGGAGAAGCTGTAGAAGGTTGTTGACTACCAGATCTGGCAAGCTGCTCCAGCCTGCTGTCTGTCTAGGTTCTGGAGAACGTATCTTATGGGGGATCCTAGCCTGCTGCACCACAGGAATCTTCAGGATCACTTCCCTCACTCCCTCCCATGTTCCACTTAACAGAGGACAAGAAAGATAATTTCAGGCTTTCACATGCTGGCCTGTAGCAGGTGCAGCTTCCTCATTATTCTCCTGGTTGTTCTTCTGCTGGGTGTTTGGTTGTTTTCTGTCTTTTTTTCTCTTTTGCAATAATCGCTTCACAATTTGTTGTTACAAAAGAAATCGGCAAACATTTAATTTTCAGTTCTTGTGCTCGCTATATAGCCTTCACAAAAACTTGATATTAACCCCATTCCACTCCCTCTCAAACTTCTGAAATGCACATTGACTACCAACCCTGTCACTGAAGATGTGAACTGAAGGGCTCTTTCAAGGCTTCAGGCACCTTCATAGCACTACTGGGTGACGTGCTGGCATTTTGCAGGTCCTTGTGTCTTTGTTTGAGCTCAATGTAAGATATCAAACATGGTGTTCCTGGACAAGGATTTGCCTGTGATATGCAGATGTGCCTTTTTAGCAGCATGGAAAACAGTAGTGTGCTTATCCAAAAACCTTAGGCTGCTACCAGATGTTGATCCTGTCAGTGTGTATAAAGTGTGTTTTGCAGACATGACTTGCCTTTGCCTGGATAAAGGGAAATGTTGATGGGGAAGATTCTCCTGGGAGTGAAAAGTTAGCCTTCAAAGGAGCCCTGAAAGCAGCAAAGCTAGAGCAGGAGCTGTGGCCTATATTTTGACCTATTTTGGGCCCAACTCCAGGAAGCAGTAAGCTCTGACACACTACAAGTTGTGGGATCAGGGTGGAGAAGCCAGCTGATTGCTCTCTAAAACAGCCATGAGAGGAATTAAATAACTGCAACTAGATTCACCAATCCTGCCAGCAGCAAGCATATCCTCTGGTCAACTACCTGGTTATGAAAAAAGACATATGGGGAAGATGTAGAAGCAGCCACTCAATCTTGACTATATAAGACAGGCTTAGCATCACTGCAGAGGCCAAAGGTAAAGGAATACTACTACTCCTCCAACAGTAGTAGTAGTAGTAGCAATAGACAACTGTTGATCCTTCTGGATCACAGGTTATGCATGAGCAGTTGCCAGGACCTTTGGCGCATACACCTATGGAGGAGTGGAGGCTGCCCAGACCTTCCATCCCCTCTTTAGACCACAGACAGTATCCAAAGGCCAGACCAAATCCAGACATTTTGATGGCTAAGATTTCAAATATTTAGAATTTTACTGCTTATTGGTTATTATTCAATATATCAATATAAGTGTGACTAACTAGTGTGCTATAAAACAAAATAAGGCGTGCTCAACCTAGCAAAGGAGCAGCTCAGTTGCAAGGCATTTCTCACACATTTCAGAGAGAGATTTTCTGGGGGGAGTAGAGAATGTCTAACAAACCTTGAGAAGAGAAGCAGTTATCAATTGGATATGTTGTGATTGGTCATTTTAAGGATGTTGCACTCTGCCCATAATTGAATATTGGCTGCTGATTCTTAAAATCAGGCCAACAACATTTAGTGCGTCAGTAGTTATGCACACATCTAGGAATTGAACTGGGGTCTCCCATCTGGCAGACAAGGATTCTACCACTGAACCACAACATTGGGTTTCTCCTGAAGTACTTAGAGTTAAAAGAAAGAAATGAAGATACATGAAAATCTTGAGTCTAAATTACACACAGTTTGTCACAGCAAAAGCATGAGCCAGACAGTTGAATGGAGCCAAGGGTACATGTCATAGCATGTGTATTTCCATGGAACTTTTAAATAGAAATGAAGAGCCAGAGCCTGTTTAAATAGGAAAGAGGATATGAATGAGGGTTCAAGTATGACAGTTTTAGAACTACAACCATGTCTGATTATGAATTTGATTTGATTGAATGAATGCTATTTGTATTTGTAACAAAGGAAATTAGATTATTCATTTGGTACAGTATTTGACTATGCATTGGTTTTGTGCTATCTGGACAAGTGTGGCAGGACCATCAAGGATTCATCAACATTGAGCTCAGGGGTTGCTGGGGGGAGAGAAATGGAGGCTACTGACAGACTATTAATAATTAATTACTTATGCACAGCAGCTCATAGTGGGTTTAGAAAATGAAAAATTCTGGGATAAGAAGAGAAGCAGATAAAAATGTCAATTATGTCTCCTCTATGGGGGCTGATGCCCTTTTAACTGTAGCAGCAGGGCTGAGTATAAACACAGCATTGCTTGCAGGTGGAATTTGTCTACAATCAAAAGTAAACCTGTTCCCCTGAACAGCAAAGACTGCTGATAGAGTCCATGTGCTAGCAGAGCAGCATTGGCCAGTGGTGTGAGATGTTCTCACCCCTAGTTGACACAGCTCCAGTAGTCGAACTCTATAATTTAGACAAGGGCTGAGAAACTGACTGAAGAGTATCCTTGGATATCTAGATTAT